TAGGCTTATGAAAAATGGAGGAGATTTATCATATCGAAAACTAAAAGAGAAAAACAGACTGCCTATAAATGTGCTTTTTTGGATATCCAGGGTGGCAACCAATATAGCCAGAAAATACATACATGTGACAATATTTCAGGTGGGGATCATCAACATTTGCTTCTTAGACATCCTAAAGACTGTAAAAATACAAAAGTTAGAAAACATATCAGAAGGGTCCAGTGGTCCAATGTCACCATTTTTTGGTGTTTATTTGAGTTTTTATGCACTATACATCATCTAATCAAGACAATCCTCATATCTATCAATTCCTCATGCAAAGACGAAGAGAAAATGGGGTAGATTGTGTCTGTAGGATGTATTGTTCAGATTCTATGTAGATTCAAAGTTTTCATTTTCCGCAGCCAAAAATCAAGCACAGACACAAAAGATGATACAAAAAAATCACATATGGGACAAAAATTTGCGTGGGGAACATCAAAATTCATTTTCTAGACACCTTAAGGATTACAAAAAACTAGGTTAAAAAAATATATCTTTCGGTGCAGGTGAACCCCCCCCTTCCTACCAGACTATAAGTAGGAAATCTCGATGGGTAGTATGAATTGTCAAAACACCGGCACTTCCTTCCAGTTATTACACGTCAAACAAGATAGATATGCAAAATCATAAAATTATATATATTTTGTCTTTTCAGGAGTAGAATGTCCAAGTGTAATTCATATTTTCAAAAAAAAAAAAAAAAAAAAAAAAAAAAAAAAAAGACAAGTGATCCATCAACCAATACCTACCTTTTGACTCTCCTTGTTATACTAGCTCAAGAGACATGGAACAACGATTCATGGACGGAATAAATCATCCTCTTTATTGTCAAAATGGGCCAAACACTATATGGAACATCAAGTGACGGCGTTGAGACCCACCTTTGAAGAGGACTTCACAAACTACTTGATAAACAATATACATTTAAATACATTCCACAGAACTGAAAAAAAGCCTTTATACTACTAAAAAAGGTAGGTGAAGTGAACAGTGAAACTGCACACATTTGTTAGAATAACATAATTAGCGGACTTAATGCAGCATTTGTATCTTTTAGTCCACAAGTAAATTACTAAACGATGAAGAACATCTAATACATACATTTGAAGTGTACTAGGGAAAAAATACCTGAAAAAGAATACATGTAAAGAACCCATGTTTTGTAAACGCCACCACCAGTAAATACTGATATGGTTGGAGTCTACAACCGTCCACACAGAGTGTCAATGTCACGTATCGAATTCGTAAGTTTTGTCTTCCAATAAAATAAGCGTAAATGGAAGTGATCATTCAACAGCTATCCCTGCATTCAAATCTCCGAAGTTTAAATCAGGTCGGCGACGTTCATGGGCATCTCCTCAACAGTTGTGTTGTAAAACGTCTCAATGTCTCGAAGAATCCTTTTGTCTTCTTCAGTCACGAAATTGATGGCTACGCCTTTTCTGCCAAACCGACCTCCACGTCCAATCCTGAGGGAATGATTACAGCGAAAGGATCAACATTAAATGCATTAATGCAGTGAGCGAGAAACACCAACCCCTGCACGTTTACTCACCTGTGGATGTAATTCTCTCTATTCGTTGGCAAGTCATAGTTGATGACAAGAGAAACTTGTTGAACATCAATTCCACGAGCCTATGGAACAGAGTTTAGGATTACTAGATGCACAAAACTCTTAATTGAAGGTTTAAGTCTATAGGTGACGATACACGGGTCAACTTTGAGAAATGGGCAACAAATTTCCATCTGGATACTTTAGGTTGGTCGTGGACTAGGGCTGGGCAATTTTTTCCCCCTTTTTTTTTAATAAAACTCGATTTACGATTCAATTTTTTTTCTTTATCAAGTAGAATTTCAATAACTCTGTGTTGAACTGATCACTCTTTTGTGTGTTAAACACAAACAAATCCCCCAAAAAATATGATCATAATCTATGACAAAAATGCTATAAACTAGATTAATGGATAATTCAACAGTAAAATTTAGTCTAGAAAAATCACAAGAGCAAAATATCAAATCTGAACATTTAGGGGAAAAAACCCCCCACTATACTAGTAGTCTTTAATTCTGGAACGACTGTTAACCTTCAAGAATACTAACAGGATCATTTTTCTTCCTCGGGTAGTATCATTACACAACACTTGACTTGTCCATACAAGTAGTTTAATCACTGTGTAATAGTGGTGTTGATTAAATGCATCGATGCAGAAATAGACCATAATAGATCAAAGCCTACTGATGTTCTATGACATCACATAGGCGGTTCTCGCACTTGCGTAAAATGGTGGAGGTAGGCAAATCACAAAGAGTAATAAATGCACCCAATAATGGGTGCAGCATGAGGCTGCAAATGTGGGCGAGTGTGTATCAGCGTTATTGTAAAGAAAATTTTACGTGCATGACCAGACAAGTAGCTGGATTAAAACGACAAAGAAAAAACAAATCTGGGGAATCACTAATATGAGAATTCTATTTTTAATACATTTGGTTTAAGTTGCGATCAATAGTGGATTACTGACGGTTGCAAAGTGGATTACTCGCGCAGCCTCGAGAAATGAAAACAAATGAGTAAAGTGCAAAGAAACTTAGTAAATAACATTTGTTCCAGCCTCTAAGTCAATGGATTGGGGATTGTGTTTTTGTGAATAAAATTACGACTGAAAACGTGATATTGATTTTAGACACCAGTCACGGAACTCTTTTTTTAAAATAGTTTTTTTTTCAAATGAAGTCACTTACATTTTAGACAATATTGACTTTTTTGTTCATTTATAGCAACATAAAAAGAACCAAATAAAGCTACCACAGCAAAACTGTAATGAATCTCAAGGCAAAAAAACAAACAAACTCATATGCGTTTCATTACTAAATGATTCAGAGTTTTGAACAAATCAGGTGAGTCAAAGATTCAATGACACATTCATAAACATTAACAAATCATTTGAATGAATGCCTCAATGGATCGGTCGCCTGCCACCAGTGGTTTAGGGTTATGTTTAAAAGCATCATTCTTTCCAACGTTTCTTATTTGTTTACTTAACATTCAATCTAATGCCTTTGTAATTTTTCAGTGTAAATAATTTAATTAGATCAGTGTCTTGTTCTAATTGAATTAATTTATCAAATTTAAGAATTTAAAATGAAAGATGAAGCATACATTTAATAAGATTGGGGGGAAGGCCCTGTAAAGGTGCATATGACAATATGTAGATTTAAATAGACCATAGCTGATTGAACACTGATGAGAATATTGATTCAGACTAAATTTACAATGTTAAGTTTTTGGACAAGCAACTTTGACAGATTCACAACAAGTGAATGACAGATTTACTCGTACGAACTGGAAGGCTTGATGTCAAGCCCCGATCATATCATTACATAACTATACTTTAATAACTCCAGTACATTCATGAAGCTTAGATTGACAAACGAAAAATTGAAAATAAAAGGTCTACTCACCAGCAAATCTGTGGTTATGAGCACTCTGCTGGAGCCAGACCTGAACTCTCTCATGATTATGTCTCGCTCCTTCTGATCCATGTCTCCATGCTGGAAGACAAAAAGACTAACTTGGACGAGCCAGCATAAACGCCATGCTTCTTACAAGATCTGAATAAGTATGATCAGTTGTGTTTAAAAATGTCTCCATAAGAGGTCAGTCCCGAAAGATGATGAACATCATTTCATACTTCATCCAGCATTAAACAATGTGCGATCTGGCTTTTAGCTCAAATCTCTCGCCTACAATTAACATCTTAAATGCATTTGATTAGCATATAATGTGTGCTTGTACTTCTTGGACCTACCAGAGCAGACACAGTGAAATCTCTAGCGTGCATCTTCTCGGTCAGCCAGTCAACCTTTCTTCTCGTGTTCAAGAAGATGACAGCCTGGGTGATTGTAAGAGTCTCGTAGAGGTCACACAGTGTGTCCAACTTCCACTCCTACACGAGTAGTGAATTAACATTAGCAACAGTGCAAGGAATACATCTAAATCAATATCCTGAGGTTCATGATGTGTATGGCACAAAATCTCGAGACCTTGGACACCGGACATTAAGAAAGAGGTCCTTCCTAGACTCATTTCCGACCGTGTGCTTTTGCTCTACCTTCTTTGTGATTAACCAGTACTAGCATGAACACCAGAGCGAGACCCGAAGGCCTTGAGCTGGTGATTTTAGCACGGCGCTTTTTAAAAGAAGGGACATTAGAGACAACCAGTGCCTCACCTCTCGTTCTACATTGATGTAAAACTGCTTAATACCCTCCAAAGTCAGCTCCTCCTTTTTCACCAGGATGCGAACAGGTTCACGCATGAACTTGGTGGTCACCTCCAGCACATCAGCAGGCATGGTGGCCGAAAGCAGCACAACCTGACAACACAAGCAGTTACAACATGAACAAAACAAAAAACACTATACAGTACAGTGCAATAAATTATGAAACAAATTCTGCATTTAATATAATTGGTAATGGGAACATTTTATCATCAACAAAATGGTGGTAAAAAAAACAAAATAAAACTTTTTATTAGGACTTCCAGTTGCAAATGCATGTATTGTCGCACTGGACCTTGAAACATAAGCCACTGGACATTAAGAAAGAGGTCCGACTCAGTTTCATTTCCGGCGCAGGGCTAATGCTCTTCTTCCACATGATACTCTGCTAGCATCATTGCATATACCAGGAGAACCTGGACTCTGCAATTTCAGCACAGTTCTTTTGAGCGGAAGACGCCTCCATTCAGAGTCGGACATCAGGGCATCGACTTACTTGTATGTTTGTGCTTAATTTCTGGAAAATCTCATAGATTTGATCCTTGAAACCACGGCTCAGCATTTCATCTGCTTCATCAAGAACAAACATCTTGATCCATTTGGGAGCTGTTTATGTAAAAGAAAGAATAGAAACTCGTCTCTGATTCAAACTTGCATGGCTCACAACCATGTTGGTGAAATGTATGATCAGTGGTAAAGTTGTAAATATCTCCATAATAGGTCAGTCCCGAAAGATGGTAAGCATCACTTCATACATGCTGCATGTTTTAGCCTAATGAGCATTTGCTACTTACACAGGTACCTCCTGTTCAGCATGTCAAACACTCGTCCTGGCGTGCCAACGACGATGTGCGGAGCCTCCGCCTGGAGTTTCTGCATTTCATTCCGCACGTTGGTGCCTCCAATGCAGGCATGGCATGAAGCGCCCATGTAATCACCCAAGGCCAGGATAACCTTCTGAATCTAGCGAGTGGACAAAAGCAGATGGGGTACAAATAATATAAACGCTGAATATCTGTACTGAGGTTAGTCAGTGTGCACTAACAATGGACAAGTATGATCAGTTGAAAAGGTCATCTCCATAACAGGTCAGTCCCGAAAGATGAAATAGCATCATCTCATGCTTTTGTCCATAGCTTGTTCCCAGTGAAATCCCCTGGCAGTCTAACAACATTAAAGATCTCATTTCCAACCACGTACAGTATCTCGCCATTACAGAAAGATTGATGAATTATTCTGGCTGAAGCACTAGTTAGAAATATTTGTTGCCGAATAGTTAATTTGTGCAATTTAAAATAAAAAAAACCCCACATTTCATGATTTTTGTAGCAGTAAGAACAGCAAAAGTGTACCTTGATTCGGACTACTGCCAGAATATGCCGCCTTGGTCTGAGACACACTTAAGTTTATGGTGACCTCAGGTACAGCATACCTGCTGAGCGAGCTCTCGGGTTGGTGCCAGAACCAGAGCCTGAGTTTCTTTCTGCTCAATCTCCAGCTGCTGCAGGATGGAAATGGCAAACGTGGCAGTTTTACCAGTCCCTGACTGGGCTTGAGCAATAACATCATAACCTAATGGAGAAAAAAAAAAAAATATATATATAAGATTCACACGAATGCATAACACACCAATAGAGCACACTAGAATTTGACTACTAGACCAGTGCTTCTTAAAGTCAGCATGAAATCAAAATTAACAAATCTTTTTATATGTAATATTTGAGGGTTTATTATAAATGATTTATCGGTGCACTTCATTATTTTTTTTTTTTAATTCATGTACCCTCATTATCTAATCAAATACGTCACCCCTCCCTCCACCCTCAAAATAACCTCTCATCTCTTTCAGTCACGTGGCATAGCGAAAGGGTGCGGCCAGAGCCAATGAGGGTGCGGCTATCGTGCACCACCTCTCAAACTGAATGTAAACTGGCATTCAAATCTGACTCCATTTTGTTTGCAACGCCAAACCTCCAACAATCCAATCAATTCCCAAAGGACGAAATCAAGCCCCACCCTACATTTTTTTTTTTTTTTTTTTCAGAAGCTGTTTCATTCGGATATACGTCACAAGGAAAAAATGGCTCAACTTCTGTTTCATGCCGACTTTAAACCTGTCCTGGGGACCCCCCACCACTGTCTCCCTCACCAGACACACCTGATTCAAGTCTTACAATCTGTAGAGAGGTCAAGTTGAATCAGGTGTGCTAGATGGGGAAAAAAAAGAAAAAAAAAAAAAAAAAAGTGCGCTAGTGGAGGTCCACAGGACATGTTTGAGAAACACTGGTCTAGACCAGTCATTCCCAAAGGCGGGGTCCCGGGAGATTTTGTATGGGTCGCCAAGTCGAGCACTATTTTTCAGTGTGCTATAGGCTACTCTCTAGATCAGGGCTCTTCAATTGGCGGCCTGTGGGCCAAATGCGGCCCGCCAATCATCTCCATACGGCCGAGGGCACCCCAACCTCCCTCCTCCTATTTTCTGGTGGTGCGGCTTAATTTGGTTAGATACGCGCGTGGCCGCAGTGGCGCCTGCAGCTGGACGACTATACGCACTGTGTGTGTACCCCGAGTACTCAGACTGACCTGAGAGAAACGTTTTCAGTCCGAATATTTCAGCAGTTCTTATGTCTGTCCCGTATTTCTGTCGACTGAACCAGCGATATTAATCATTTGTTGGCTTGATTATTTCCCTTCCATGAATCGGCCAAACGCTTTTGCATAACGGTCTGAAACGATTCGGATTTGTTCACCTGAAGCGGTTTCTTGGTCAGTAACAAATAGAGAACAAAATAGCGCTGTTTTCAGTCGTTTCACTAGTTTACTTTGAACTAGGCAGCACGGCCCAGTGGATAACGGAACGCAAACCTTAAAGGAGTTGTGTTTACTCTCGCTCCAGGACACTATTATTAAACAGCGTTGCGACATCTAGTGAGAAACGTTTCAATCGGACACTCCTCTCTCTTACAAACCACATATCACTCAATGATTTTAACTAGTTTTAAATCAGATGAAACAGTCTTAACATTCCCAACACTACTGATGAGGTAAATAGCAGAAACATGAACCAAGTTAGAAGACTAAATGCCCCAAACACCACCCTTACAAACATTTACCATGTAATAGCATATGGATGTAATAATTTACCATGGTTTGGGCATAAATGTGGAACATTTATATTGAATACTATGTTAGTCATTTATATTGCATTAGATTTATTAGGGGGGTAGAGGAATATATAATTAATTGCAAGTATATTTTTTTTTTTACCTGTTTAGGCATTTTTTATACAGTGGTAGTGAGCCATGCATGGTTACAAAGTCTCACTGTCAGGATATTTTAATCTAAGCCTATAATAATTATTATAGTAAATTGTGTACACTGTAATGATGAGAATATGAAAACAATGAGATGCCCTGTCAACTCTTCCTTTCTCATTTTACCTCTGCATTACGCTTATTGTCAACAGGTTAATAAAAAAAAAAATTGTGCTTTCAAATATCTGTATCTCTTTTAAATAGTTAACTGGAAGCTTAACTGACCTTAAAAATGGTCATAATTTGTTAATGCATAAATTCTCTTCGTGATATATGAACTATGGGCCTAATGTTTATTGGGTCACAAGGATTTATCGACTTTAAAATGTGGGTCCCTAGAAAAAAAGTTTGGGAAACACTGGTCTAGACCACAAAAAGATGAGCACTATGCAAATTGTAATGTGCACTTTATAGAAAAAGCATGTCAAGCAAATGTCAAGTGTCATTGATTCTATGAACTTGTTTGTACCTTTTATGCAAGGGATTATAGCTCTCTGCTGGATTGCTGAGGGTTTCTCAAAACCATAGGCGTAAATTCCACGGAGAAGAGTTTCCTTCAAGCTCATGTCATCAAAATTGTCTGTAATCTCATTCCAGTTGCTCTGTAAAATAATGTGAAGGAGATTTCAGTTTGAGCTATTACACAAATCTAAAGTGAAGAAAAAAAAGAAGAAAAAAAAAAAACACATTAACAATAGGAGCACATGAAAAGCACTCCCAATATTGTAATCTAATGAACCATGTTCATTAAAAAAAAAAAAAAAAAATTGGTCACGTCTTGAACGGGAACAAGCTGGATTTTTGCTGACTTTACGTACAAGCAGAAATGTCCTACAACCTAGAAGTCATAATTATGAGTCTGTTGCAATCAGGTGCTTTAGGCGGTGTTTGAAATTACAGTGCATTACGACACATGCGTCGTGGCGCTCTCGTGAACTCGTGTCAAAAGGCCCACACAGAAGAAAGAAAGAATTTTAGCACAAAAAGTATTCTTGTCGCCTGATCAACTTAGTCACTGTAGTCACTTGGACTATTTTAACAATGTCTTCACTAAACTTTACAGGACCAGCAGATGCAATTATCTAGCAGCCTATGAGGGAGTGAGACGGTCCTCAATTCATTAAAAGAAAAAATATTTTGTGTTCAGAAGATGAACGAAAGTCTTACGGGGTTGGAACAACATGAGGCTGAGTAATTACTGACAGAATTTTCATTTGTGGGTGAACTATCCCTTAAATCAAAATGTAGTGTCCTATTCGAAACTGGAGAGCTTGCTGACAATTCTGGAATCTGGGTCAAATAAATGCCGTTTGTGTAAAACACGTACAAATAATCATTTGATGCATATTGTATATCTAGATGTTGTTGGGAAAACAAAACTTCATAGAGTCACTACAACAATAAAGGCTTTCCAAGCAGATCATTTTAGGAACTAGCCACCAGGGCAGTCCACCGGGAACTAAATGTTCCCCTAGGGCCATTTTCCTGGCTGCATTCGAACCGCCAGTAGGATCTCTGAGGTGACGTTGGCCAGCGGATAGAAACGCCATACAAGTGTGGCATTTAACAACATCAACTGGAGGATACGGGACATTGTGAGCGGAGCTGTGTTGTTTGTAGTGGGTTTTGTGAGAGAGAAAATGTTGACATGTTATGTGATGGAAAGAGCAAAAAGGAGGACAATGAGACAATATCCAACTTGTGGTGCGACATATCATCGAAGACAAGAACACAACTGCACAGACAAAGGTGACGGGTAAATGCTGTTAACATTAGCTTTTTAAAAACGGCAGATACGGTTTCGTATGGCATACATTTGACAAATCAGCATATGCTTGCATCAATGGTAGTTCCTATAGAGCTGGGTTTGACCCTACTCTGAAGTAGGAGCCCCACTAAACCACTCTAATTTGCATTACTTCTATGGTATCTTTTTGATCATTTTGAAAAGTGTCAGTTTTGGATGAATGGACTTTCAAAATGGAGAAACAAATCTCTCAAGATTTGATTAAAATTAGAGCCCGACCAACATGGATTTTTGGGGTCTGATATATCGGCCGATATTATGTATATCATAATACAGTAGCAATATGATGTACGTGTATTATAGTACAGTACCAGTCAAAAGTTTGGACACTTTCCTATTGGTGTGGATGGGTATTGTATTTGGAATACACAGTATAAACAGAATATATAAACGTTTTACAATGATCACTCAAATGTGGTGATCAAACACTTGTAACAAAGATATGTAATGGAGACAGGGTGAATGATAGGATGATACATTTGAGCTGTAAACAAACTAGTTTGCATTGCATATTATATTCCAAATACTGTTGCATAATCTTCACCAATGATTTGGCAGCTTAATTTAGTCACATTACATGACATAACTTGTATCAATAAATAGCCTACATCAAGTGTCACTGACAAAACATTAT